GTTGCCTCCCATATGTGCCCCCACTGGGAATTGAACCCGAAACCCAGATATGTGCCCTGACTGGAAATCGAACCTAGGACCTTCCGGTGCACAGGATGACGGTCCAACCACCTGAGCCACACTGGCCAGGGCATGTGTTTGTTTGGCACATGTTGCATGTCCCCACAACCCCGCACTCCCGAACAGAAGAGAACAGAAGCTCTTGTCTATCTTGTTTACAGCTGTGCCCAGAGCCTGGAGCAGGGCCTGACATAGGCAAAGCTCAGTATCATTTGTTGACTGACTTGACTGTGAGGACTATAGCCAAGACTGTTAGAGCTAGAAGAGAAACAGTCCACCTCATGGCTTCGCACATGGGGAAACAGAGGCACAGAGAGAGTCACTTGTCCAGCGGCGCGAATGCAAACGTGCAAGCCAAGTTGGTCATACCCAATCCTGAGGTTCTTTTCCATACACAGTCGTAGCTACTAAAAGGGAGGGTTATTTCACCCTGCAAGCTGCCTGCCAAGTTATCATGGAAGCAGATCTCAGAACAAATTCTGTTGCCCATACAAATATTGATGAAACAAACATTTATTAGCAAGTAGCCACAAAACCGGTTCATATAATCTGTTCCGTAAGGTCAGTGAAGGCCCAGCTCTGGGTCCTTTTAGGTGCTTGACCACCTTGTAATAAAGGGCCACTCAAGGAAGGTACAGCAGTGTAGAGGCAGGATTCAGTTAGACCCGTGGTCGGCAAACTGCAGCTCGCGAGCCACATGCGGCTCTTTGCCCCCTTGAGTGTGGTTCTTCCACAAAATACCACGTGCGGGCGCGCATGTACAGTGCGATTGAAACTTCGTGGCCCATGCGCAGAAGTCGGTATTTTGTGGAAGAGCCACACTCAAGGAGCCAAAGAGCCGCATGTGGCTCGCAAGCCACAGTTTGCCGACCACTGAGTTAGACTGATGGTTACATCAGGCAACCAGAATACCGTGGGACATGGGATCCCCAAGGGTTCAACTCGGTGCATCATCCCTAAGTGATTTTTTTCTTTTCAAAATGTTTTTATTGATTTGTTAGAGAGAGAGAGAGAGAAACATTAATCGGCTACCTCCTGCAGGCCCCCTATTGGAGAGGAGCCCACAACCAGGGCATGTGCCCTGACCTGGAATCAAATGGGTGACCTTTTGGTGTATGGGATGCAGCTCAACCAACGGAGCCACACCCATTAGGGCTGAGATTTGTTTACTCTGAACAAGGACTTAGTGGTGACCCCAAACCATTTTAGCCAATCTACACAGCTCGAATACTACTAATTTCCCCAAAGGGGAGCTCATTTCTAATACCTGCTATGCCAGTTCATAATCCATGAATATTACTGATACACTCATTGTGGCATTCTCTATGCTAATCAGGAAAGGTTGGGAGTGGGGTGAGGGTGGATGTAGACATGGAGAACTGTAGAGGCGGCTGAACTGATTGTGTGTGACTGTGTGGGTTTCTTTAACTCCCAGGTTAATTTACTTTGAGTTGGAAATGTGAAATCAGATGTGGTGGAAGTATTTACACTATGGAAATTGGCAACAGGGTCCTCCCCCATGGAGTGACAGTTATGATGCATTTATCAGCATACGGCTGGATAGGCTGTGACCTCTGGTGTGTGACCTTCTGATACAGTGCTGGCTGACCACCTCCCCCTCATGACTACCTCTACACCAGGGATGCTCAGTCCTGGCTGCACTTTAGAAAGTGCCGGGACCTTTAAAAGAACAGCGATTCCCAGGCACCTGTAGGTGGAGATTCTGATTTGCCTGGGATGGGGTTCGGAGATCAAGACACAGTTAGAGCTCACCAGGTGATTCTAATCTGCAGCCAGGGTCCCACTCACACCTGCATGTCACACTCTCTATGCCACGTATTCTAAGTGTCACAGAAAGTTAATGGCAAAACCAGGATCGGCAGCAGACCTGCTGACCCCCAGCCCAGAGCTCCTAGCAAAAGGAGGAAAAAGTTGAAAATACGTTGTCACTTCTGAGGTTTCAGTGTCTGCAAAATGGCTGAGGGGCAGCTCTCAGCACTTGGGGTTCAGGTTGGGGGTGGGAAGGAACGACGAAGGAGCTCAGGAGCCCAGGGAAGGCTGTGCCAGCCCCAAAGAGCTCCAGGCTCCCTCTGCAGGGGTGTCTCAGCTTCGTTTTCCAGGGCATCTTACAGGGCTCAGATGTGTGTGTGTGCGTGTGTGTAGGCTAGGAGGCTAATCCCCTGGGAGAGGGAGACAGATTAATCCCTCAGGGGACAAGGTGCTGAACTAGCACTCCAGGGGGTAGAGAACAAAGCCTCAAAGAGTGGGTGTAAGACCGGCTCTGCAGGGTGGGTGAAGGAAGCTACTAGCATAGAGAATACCGTAATAAGTGTATCAGTAATATTCATGGCTTATTAATTAGCAAAGAAGGATAAGGAGTTAATTTTTCCTCCTCAAAGAACAGAAAGTGTGGTGGGGAGTTAGACATGAGCAGAGCAAGGACTATGGGCCAGGTACAGAAGGTCGCCAGGGTGGAAAGCCCTGGGTGCCTAGCAAAGGACAAAGATAGGGTGGGGCCTTGTCCCCAGGGTGGCATTTCCTCCCTAGCATATCACTGGTCATGCCATTTGGACCTCCTGACTTTTCCTTCCTAGAGATGACATCTAGGCCTCAGTTGTACTTCAGCTCCAAACCCAGAAAAGCTGCAAAACCAGACAAGCGAGGCCAAAGCTGACCTCAGGACCAGCTGCATTGGATAATGACCCCGTGCCCTGGCTCCGACCAATCAATCAGTGGAGATCTAGATTCTAGACCAGTGATGGCGAACCTATGACACGCGTGTCAGAGGTGACACGCGAACTCATTTTTTTGGTTGATTTTTCCTTGTTAAATGGCATTTAAATATATAAAACAAATATCAAAAATATAAATCTTTGTTTTACTATGGTTGCAAAGATCAAAAAATTTCTATATGTGACACGGCACCAGAGTTAAGTTAGGGTTTTTCAAAATGCTGACACGCCGAGCTCAAAAGGTTCACTATCACTGTTCTAGACCTTGAAAAGACACACCTGAAAAGCTGCTGAGTATTCTATTCAGATATTCCCCCTGGGACTACCCCTAACATCTCCACCCTTAAAACCCTTAGGAGGAGGACCAGTGCGTCTCCCTCCTGGAGTACACCCTGCCGTTCCCTTTCCCTTTCCCCGAGGTGCATCACCTTTATCGTCCTCATGTCTAAGCTCCAAGGGCCCTCCCTTTGCCTCTATAACAGTGGTTCTCAACCTTGGTTGCACATTAGAATCACCTGGGAATCTTTTTAAAATTCTGATTTCTGGGCCCCACCCTCCCGAAATTCGGTTTCTTTGTTACTAATGTTGTGGCTCCACCCCATAACAAAGAAACAGAATTTCCGGAGGATGAGGCCCAGAAATCAGGATTTTAAAAAGGTTCCCAGGTGATTCTCATGTGCAGCCAAGGTTGAGAACCACTGCTCTATAACGTTTCCTCAGCTCATTTCTTCTACGAATTACTTCCACCTCTGTGATTTTTCTAAATAAATGTTCTCTTATAGTTTGAGTCTTGGCTCTGAATTCTTTCCTAGCCAGAACTCAAGTACTGAGGTTGCTGAGCCCAGGTCTGGTCTGACCCCACGGGTCTCACACCTGGTACCGTTACGACCGCCGCCAGCTAAAGGACCACTCTGAACACCGTGGTCAGATGCGTTCTTGGACCTTGGTTATCCATCTGAAGGTGACCTGCTGCAGTCCCTGGTTCCACGTCTCTACCCAAGGGGCCCTTACAGAGCCGGCTCCTTTGCACCAAGAAACTTGAGTTCCCTTTCACCCTTCGGGGCAGGGGAGGGCTCCCTTCCCACCCCCAGCCATACGTTCTTCCTTCAGGGCAGAGCCCTGGGCGTTGGGCTGGCCAAGTGTCAGTCTCCCTCTGGGAGTCTGTGTGTGCAGGAGGCTCGGAGTCCACAACAAGGGACCAGGACAAGGGTGCCATTCCTGCAGTCGCCACCAGGGACCCGCCCAGCACTGCCTTGCACGTGACCTCTGGGCCACACATTTAATGACAAAAGCAACAAACACAGATGGACTCCCAGGCTGACCGGGCCTGGGAAGCAAGGAAACAGCAGTGAGCCAAGCTGGGGCCATCTAGCTGTGGGAGAGTCTCACCGTCAGGTCTGGCTCCAGGCAGAGGAAGGCCGGGTGGCAAGAGGCTGGGTCAGACCTGGGCTGAGTGTGCAGGGAAGGAGGCCGCTAAGCTGGCCTGAGGATGGGCGTGGAGGAGGGCTTCCCAGAGAGCAGGGTTGGGATCTCACCTGGCCACTGAGAAGGGGATTCCCAGAGACTGGTTGGGGAAAAGGGGTCCCGGCTCCATGGGGGGCCCTTTAGCCCCACCCTGGTCTGCTGCACCTTCCCAGACCCGGCTCTCCGCCCTCCTCAGGCTGAGCAACTCCACTTCCTTATTACACTTCACGTCTTGCCCATTTTAGCACTTGAGCGGTTAGGTTCTGCCCTATTCCCATAGTCTTCCCGCTTGACAATGGTGGAAAGTGTGCATTTTCCTATGTACCCGGATTGGGCACGCTCTCTCTCTCCCTACAGCTCCTCTGTACACATCCTCTCACGCCCCACGAGTACAGGCGTTTCCAGAGTTGCACGCGACCTCCTTTGCAGAAACCTCGCCCCCTCCCCTCCCTTCCCCTAGTCTGGGTCTCCGGCTGCAGCCCCGCCCTCATCCCGCCCCCTCCCAGAGGCTGGGCCGGTGCCTCGAGCCCATTGGCAGA